CTGCCAGATCCAGGTTGGGAAACTCCTAGAGATGTGGGGGTAGAGGGACCTCAGTGGGGCACAGTGCCCTAGGATCCACCCTCCAAAGCAAGGCTCCCTCGAAGCTGTGGGGCCTTCTGAGCAAAAATTCTACTTTGTGAGCTGCTGGCACTAAAGTCGTGAGCGAGCCATTTGGCTACTGCATAAATTAGTTTGCTCTGGAGCCAGCCTTCCTGAGCTAAGATAAACATGGGTGAGCCGGAGGCTACAAAACTGTGAGCTAGCTCACACTAACTCAGCTTAGAGGGAACACTGCTCCAGAGCATCCATTTTCTCCGGGGGGACTGGTGATCCCTGTAGTCTGGAGATTATGAGCCGTAGTTCCAGGGTGGGGATCTCCATGCCCCAACTGGAGACAGGGCCGGCTCACTCGTTAGGCGAACTAGGCGTTTGCCTAGAGCGGGCTGGCCCTTAGGGGCACCAAACTGCATCTGTCCCCCCCCCCGCCGAAAGCCCCTCTACCCATTCCAGCGACCTGCCAGCCTATGGGAGGCTCCACCTGCAGGAGCCGGGAAAGGCACTGGGCGGCTGGGCGAGGCAGCAGCCGGGCAAAGTGGGTCAGTCGGCAGAAATCCTCTGGCCAGTGGCAGCAGCAGCACCCGAGGGAGGGCGGGGGGTGATGCATGGGGGAGGGGGCGGCGCATGGGGGGCGCCAGAAGGGATCCTTGCCTAGGGTGCAAAATAAGCTGGGGCCAGCCCTGCCTGGAGGCTGGCATCCCTGTCACCAGTGCCAGGAGGACACAGAGACCAGGGATCCCTGGGGGTGAGGCCTCTCCCAGGACCTAGCCAGGCACCACATATCACCGATTAGCAAAACGGTGTCTCCCTCCCCCCACATTCAGTGTTGGCAGGGGATCAGTGGCCACATCCTCCCACTTCTGTACCGTGGAAGTGCCAGATGAGAAAAGCCGGGCTCCCTTACCCCGGTTCCCGCCTGAAACCCCCTGGTGTCGAGCCCGGCCACCCGAAGCGTACTCCTGCTCCCTCCTGCGCCGGGCGCGGGATCCTCCTGTCTCTAGAAAGGGAGTCCCCCAAAAGCCCCCAGCAGAGTCGGGGGCGGGGTGGGCTCAGACGAAGGCCGGGAGCGCGGCGCGGGGGGCGTGCCTGAGGCCCAGCGGGCCGGCGGGGTCCTGCTGCAGCGCCGGGCGCCCGTCTTGGGCCGAGTCCGCCGGGCTGAGGCTGCCCTCTTGCGAGGCGGGCGAGTAGCGCGCGTCCCAGGGGCCGGGCCAGGCGGCCAGGGCGTCGGGGCCGGGCCGCAGGAGGGCCTCGTCGGGGCCGGCGGGCAGCAGGCTCTGGTCGGCCAGGCGGAGGGTCTCGGTCAGCGCCCAGATGTAGTTGTGGGCGAAGCGCAGCGTCTCGATCTTGGTCAGCTTGGCGTCGTCGGGGAAGGTGGGCAAGACCCCGCGCAAGGCGTCCAGCGCCGAGTTGAGGTTGTGCATCCGGTTCCGCTCGCGGTCGTTGGCCTTCACCCGCCGGCTGCGCTTGGCCTTGCCCGGCCCCGGCCCCTCGCCTTGGCTCCTGCCGCGGCCCCGACGGCTCCCTCTGGCCTGCGGCTTGGCGGCCCCGGCCCCTCCGGCCAGCACGAGCAGGCAGGCGCCGGGGGAGGGGGGCGGGCTGCCGGTCGCCAGCGAGGAAGGCGACGAGAAGGCCACGGCGTCGTCCTCGGAGATGCCCGACGAGGGCGGCGTCCCTCGCCGGCTCCCCTGCTGCGAGGCGTGCGGAGAGGCCGTCTTGGGCGACATCCTGCGAAGAGAGCCGCGCGCGCGTGTCAGGGGGCGCCAGGACGGGACGCAAAGCTGCTGCTGCTGCTGCGGAAAGGGGGATTCCTCGCAGGGAGGCGCCCGGGCCCTGCTCCAGGGGTCCCTTGGACGCAGCGCCTTCGGGGCTTAGCAGTGTCCCTCCCCTCCCCTTCGAGGGGCCATCAGCGAAGCCAGTGTCTTAGCCCCGGGACCGCTTTGCAGCAGGACAACGTGGGCGCAAGGAGAGGAGAGCCGCTGGACACGATGCAGAGCAATGCCCCCAAAGCGGGGAGGGCCCCGTGAGCCCCGGCACCTCTCCAGGGTGAAGGACGCCTCGAGGACTGAGAAGGGTTGGTGGCCTTACCTGGCGGAGAGCCCGGCTTGGGGGGGAGACCAAGTTGGAAGAGGCCGGGGGGGAGGAGGGAGGGAGCCTTCCCCGACGGCAGGAGAGCGGCGGCTGCAGGTCGGGCACACGACCGCCTTTGAGCCCCTATATATAGGGCGCGGAGACAATGCGCGCTTCCCTGCTCCGGGCAGCGTGTGGTTCTCCCCCCCGGCCCCCCCCCCTCCACCCCGCCCGCCTCGGGCACGCTTTATCTTATCGGGCCGGCTCGGAGCGTGCCTGGCTCGTTACCGCCCGCAAGAGGCCAATCAGCGAGGCGCCGCCGGCCTGAGCCACGCGAGCCCCTCGCACAGCTGGCGGCCTGACAAAGCCCCCCCGGGCCGGCCCGCTTCCTCCGGACCCGCGAAGAACGGCCGGCGAGCAATGTTCCCTCTAAGCTGCAGAGCCTTGTGAGCAAAAATGCTACTTTGTGAGCTCCTGGCATTAAAGTTGTGAGTGAGCGATTTGGCTACTGCATCAATTAGTTTGCTCTGGAGCCCTCCTTCCTGAGCTAAGACAAAAATCTGTGAGCTGGAGGCTAAAAACCTGTGAGCTAGCTCACACTAACTCAGCTTAGAGGGAACACTGCCGGCGAGGCGGCGGGGGCGCCAAGCGCACAGATCCCTTTGCTTCCCATCACGCTGCAACAAAAAGGCGCCCCGGTGCTTTGCTGCGAGTATTGTAGGGTGCGGGGGGAACGGCACAGCAGAGCTTCAGCTAATGAATGTGTCCCTTTCTATCCTGTTCTTCGAAGAACAGGATAGAAAGGGACTAATTCATTCATACATGCTGCTGATTTCCTCCCAACAACCCTGTGAGGTCTCTTGGGCTGAGAAAGAGTGAGTGACATCAAGCTTGCTGGGCCAGAGCCAGGAACTGAACCCAGGTCTGCTGGTCTAACACTCAGACCACCAGGTTACTCTGACTCAACACTCTTAAAATACTGCCTGCCTGCCTTAACAGTTTAACTATTGCGGGGGGGGGGGGGCTGCCTTCAGACAGTCCGCTTTTTAAAGGATCTCAAACTAGTGGTTGTGGTCACATTGTCAGTGCAATCCTAAACTGATCTACTCCATGGGGTTTACTTCCAGGAAAATATTCTTAGGGTTGCACTCTATGTGACTGAATTCAATAAGTGAAGAAGTAGACAGTAGTTTCATCAGAGGCTTAGTGTGGGCAGCAGGCCAGGTGAAGTGGCACCAAACTTCTCAAACAGCCTACTACAGTGAAAAAGATCCACGAGATAGACACATTACATTGACAAGGGTGGATATTTTTAACCAGCCACTGGCAAGTGTTTTGCACAAATCAAGAACAGTATCGAGCACTAAACAGTTTGGTTTTCAGCCATAGTGCCCTTAAAGGAACTTCTTTTGCCCAGGATTGGTCTCTTGCAGTAGTCCTCTTTCTGTCACAGGGCAGCAAATGTCAGCTCTCCCTGCTGAGGATTCCAAATCTTGTGGCTGCTCCATGCTTGGTAGCATTTATTCCTGTATTTTGCTTAATACAAAAGACAATTCAGTCCTGCCTTTTAGTGTCCTGTGATATGGAAGGTTCAAATGGTCAGTCTGAACTGACCACAGCTATTTGCGTTAGATTGCTATGTTTGCATGCTTACTTGGGAGTCAGAGAGCTTTACTTCTACATTGGATCACACTGCACATAGTGGAGAATGAGCCTTCTCATGGTCCGCCTGAAGGGTGAGTGAAGCTTGAACATTTGCAGCCATTGTTCCAATAAAAGACCTCATTGCCACCAGCTCTCTACAGTCTGTTGACTTTGCAAACCGTTTCACGTGCTCCACCTAAGAACATCTGAAGCTGCCTTGTACTGCATTGGACTTGGCCCAGTATTGTCTCCTGTGACTTGCAGTGGTTGTCCTTGAGGGAGGAGTCTGTCAGCACCTGCTCTCCCCAGGCTCTACAGATGGAACCTATGGGAGCAGAGATGGGAAGCGGCTCTCCTGCTGTAGCCGAGTAGCTCAAAAATGCCGGAAATCACCCTGCCAGAACCTCCACCTACTGACACCCTCTGGGCTGTAGGTAAAGTGCCTGGAGAAGCTGCAGCCTCCGCCGCGCTTGCTCCAGGTCACCTGAGCCTCCAGGGCTGGTTTGGCAAGGGCGGCTGAACTATGAAGGGGCACCTCCGGGGCTGGTGATTCTGAGCGCAGCGTGAGGAAGGCCAGGCGCTGGTTGGGGACAATGAGTCACCCGCCTGAGCCTTCTCTGGCAGTGTGGCTTGAAGTGGCGAGGGAGGGGTGGGGCGGGGGGGGTTCCTCAGCAGGCCACCGCTTTCCTTAAGGTGGGCGCTCTAGCCAACTGCCTAACTCAAGTATATGGATGTTCCGGCCCTGTCTGTGCTCTGCTGCTGAGCGAGGGCATTGCCTGGAGCAGGGTTCCCCTTGCAGTATATGGAGGCAAGACAGGCAGGTCGAGGGCTAGCCAGGACACACCAAATGCCTCATGAAACATCCACTGTGCAGACGTGGCTTCCATATTGTATAAACAGGAATAAAGTTTTTAAAAAGATATTTAGAAAAGCAAATCTCATTTATGTGTCTGCTTGCCTGTTTGACTTGAAAATGTGTCTGACTTAAAAATGTGTCTCTTGCACTTTCTCCAGCATGGGATTCAAGGTGGTTTAAAGCGTTTTAACATCCACAAGAATAAAATCAGCCCACTGAATTCTATCCACAACCCAAATGCTCCCCTCCTGGAAATCTCTGTCTTGTTTTTCCTCTGAAACACCAAGGAGAAGCAGATCACCTGACAAACACAACCCACAACCCCCACCCCGGTTGGGAGGCAAGTTCACAAACTCGAGGCTGTGAGAATGGAAGTCCAGCCGCCAGTCCTACAGACTTCTAAGAGGGCACCTTCAACAGGAGCTGTGGGGCAGAGTGCAGCTGCTCCACAGGTTGACAGAGGGGGAGGCAGTCCTGCAACTAGGTAGGCTGCAAGTCACAAAGAGCTTCAAAGATACCTTAAATCAGACCCAGTTACAAATAAGCAGCCAATGAAGATGTTCCAGGACAGGGGTTATACAATCGAGCCAGCTCTTAAAAGCTGATATGTATTTTGCACCAACCGAAGTATCTTCTCTGTAGATTACTTCTAGGTAGGAAGGCATATCTGTAGACAGTTGTGATCCCACAGATGGGTTAACTCAGAGGTAATTTTGGGGGGGATCGCAGTTCCCCCAGGTGAGGTACGGGGAGCGGGGCACATGACGAAGCCCCGCCCCCTGCTTCCAGCCGCCCCGCTTCCGGCCCTCATTCAGCCAGGAGGAGGCAGGAGAAGAGGGAGGGTAAGTTGCTTCCTCCCTGCCTCTCCCCACCCCTGCCTGCCTGGGGCCAGGGAGGGCCTTCGCGGGGCTTCCTCGCACTCCCGCCAGCCTTGCAGGTCCACCGCCGGGCCCCTCATGGGGCTCGGCAGTGGAGCTGCAAGGCCGGCGGCGGCCGGGACCGTTGGGGGCGGGGTGTGTGGCCTTATGTCAGGGGGTGTGGCATATGCTAATGAGTTATGCTAATGAGTTCCCCTAGCTCTTTTTCTACGAAACAACCCCTGGGTTAACTTAAATGACTTTTCAAACGTTGCATCTGGTTAGTTTGCTTTACTTCCACCAGTTCAGACAAATCTCCAGGCAAAGTCCATCATAGCAGCTAGGCCCACATGGATGGGACAGTTTGACCAGGACTCAGCAAGGGATGAAAATAATCTCTCTCAAGGTGATCCACACATCCAAACCTGCTTTGTTTTAGCACATTTGATACACAGCATGTGCTGATCATGTGATTGTTGCATCAACCCTATCATCCCCATTTTATAAGAGGGGAACGAGAGCTGGAAAGCCAGCCATGTGGCTGAGCTGTCCTGTGAATCCACGTGACTTCCAGTATTCAGGCTCCGCAATACTATTCAGGGCTGTAATGGCAGAAAGCTCTGAATGCAAGAATGGAATGTTTGTCAGTGATTTGTATTACAGAAAGGTTTGATCTTTTCCCCTCTCTTCTATGGAAGCTTGCAGGGTGACCTTGGGTAAGTCACACACTCAGCCTAACCTACCTCTCAGGATTGTTGTGAGGATAAAATGGAGATGAGAATGATGTTGTAAGTCACTTTGGCTTCTTGTGGGGGGGAGTGGAGTATAAATGAAGTAAAATAAAGAAGGGACCATTTAATATATTTTTGTTCATGTTTTGAGATTTAATATATTTTTAAACATATATTATCTAAGGCCTGTTTGAAAATTACTGTTCCAGGCCAGAACCTTATATGTGCTTCAGTGTATACAAAGATCTCTAGTGTACTCCAGTCTTATTCACCTCATGGCGGAGAGGGGTTCATAGAGGCATTCTTTGTCATGTGCATACCTTCTCTCCATTGAAGTGAAAACAGTATTGCACTTACCTGTACCAGTTATTCATTGAGTTGTCACTGTACAGGCACACACGGGAACTCTGAGGGCACACAGGCCAGCCACAAGAAGATTTTCTAGCTAGCCTAGTAACAGAGCAGGAGGAGCCCCCCCCCAACTGGAGCCTTTAGGGCCATTTTCCTGCTCCACAGTCACGCGCTCCAGGGAGGGGCTCCTCCGCAGTCCCCTTCAATTCCTTGCCACC